AAATCAGCCTCAACAAGCCCTACAAGAGCTGCCAAAGACCAGAAAAAACACACACATGAAAACGAACTAGATCACATCAGGGGCTGTGCATTCATTTGACAGGTTCTGTCCTCTGTAGTTAAAATAAACCTACTGTACCAGAGATGTTTTCACTGTAGCACACAAACATCAAATGCTAAGAGCATTTCAGTTTATTGCAAAGAGTCTGTTTCCCAGCAGCTGCTCTGAATCCAATCTCATTTCTCTCTGATCTTGCAATTCTTGCATCTATCAGAGACTTCAGTCTCCTCCTACTTCTACAGCATCTTAAAACCCAACTCTGACAGGCTTTGGGAAGCAGGGCAGCCCCGAGAAACCCCTGGCAGAGCAGGCCCTCCTCTCGCAAGCTGCTTTCCAGCAAAGCAGTTTGCTCACACTACTGCTGAGACAACCAGGGTTTGCAGGCGCATGAAAAAAGTACATCACCTCCCTGCAAGCAGGAACCGCCGGGGTTTGCTCACATAGTGGCTCCACCATGGTTCAGCCAAGCCCGGGTGGGTGAGACAGAGACCGAGGTTTCCAGCTTTGCCTGTCCCGCTGCTCCCCACAGCACAGGGTCAGCACCCCTCCACGCACACCCTGTGCTCAAAAACTGATGTGGCATCAGCAGCACCCCTACTACACCACTCTCGAGGGCTTAGGCAATGCGGAACAGACTGTTCCCACCTGCTTCTGCTGAAAACTACACCAAAAAAAACCCCAACTCCTTGAGCTTTGCAGGTCCACAGGGTGGGAAGCTGGACCTTCGGCCCCAGAGAGTCCCCCAGCCCTGTTGCATTTTGCTCCTCCTACAAGGTGTTCATCTTGCATCACGGATGGAGAAGGTGTTTCCTTTGCATGGTGTACGTGGCAGCATTGCCCAGCAGCCCGGCCGGCATGCTGCCTCGCCGTGCTCTCGGGTGTGCTGCAAACCACCCCACAGCAGCGCAGCATCCTGCGGGGAGCCCGGCTCGTTCACAGCCCCGGAGCCGCGGCTCATTCATACAGCAGAGCCGATCGCCCTCCCATCCTCACAGCCTGCCATGTCTGTGCAATTAATAAATACAGGAGGGAAGCATGAACCCTGCTAATTTTTGGCTTCCTTTAGCCTCTGTGCTGGCCCAGCCTGAGGTCAGCACATCCCACTTGCCAGCAGCACAGCACCACAGCAAAATAAGGATAAAATTCCTCCCCCGGCCGTCTGAGCCTCTGCCGGCTGCTTTCCGGGAGGTGAAGGGATGAGGTCCATCAGGATAAAAGCGCTGCCTGCATCATCCTACAGCAACATGCTCTATGATTTATGCTTAACTGTTTTGCAAGCACAAACTGAGCTGGTACAGCGGGAAGACGGTACTCCGAGACTGAGGATGGGAGAGCTTATCCCCAAGAACCTGCAGGTGTGAGCTCCTGGGAAAGGCACATAGCCCCATTTCGGATGGAGGCCTTTAATGCAAGTTGGGAAACTCCTGTTTCACTCAGCATAGCAAACCCCCTTTGCCCACATCCCTCACAGAGCGTGCATCAGCGCAGGAGGGAGAGCGCTGGACGGGATGTAGCTGTTGGCAGGGCTTGAACCGAAGCTGGGGACACATCTGCAAAACTGGGTGGTGGCTTGGTAAACAGATTTAACTAAATGCTATCACCTTCCCCGGCCTCAGAGTGGCTTTCCCAGCACATTAGCACTCCTGACTTTTATCCTCACATGGCTGCAACATCTCACCTTGCCTTCGTTTCCCAGCTCTGTTGACATGGCATCCTGGCACAGTCTGTGCTGGAAATGCTGTCACAGCTCGGGGAGAAAGGGCAAGTTTTTACTTAAAAAAAAGAAATACATGCAGAATTGGTTAAGTTCATTTAAAGGAGACTTTTGCCCAGTCTCCCTGTCAGTGGGTCCATTCACCAAGTGACTTGTGTGACCCTGCAATATGATGTGTGCTAGGAAGCGGGAAAACAGCTGGCAGGGGAAAAGCCAGGAGCTATAAAGGTGCAGGAAAAAAAACAACTGAGGTGAGATTTCAGCTGTTAACACATAGCTTCATCCTTGCAAGCAGCACTTGGCACCCACCGCGTGATGGGAGGGAGACGTGTTCCTTGCATTCACAGGTCACTCTGCCAGCCCTTGCCCCTCCATCGGGCAGGCAACCAAGGTAAAGCTCACATGTAACCTGCGGGAGGGTTGCTGCAAGGGATCCGTGTGCCAGAAACCTTCATGTCCTAGAGGGCTGGAGCAATCTCGTGTCCCGTTTGCCTGGTGTGCTGGGACCTATGGAGTCCAGACACTGATGCACTGGAGGGCAGCTGGTTGAGAAACCTGCAGCCACCACAGACTGAAAATTGCATTTTATTCAATTAAATACCAAAAATTATCATGCAAATCAGTGCAATTCCATCCCTCCCTTCTTCCTGTGACATTTTTCTGTTTGGTGTAATTGATGTTTCTGTTGGCCTAACATAGAGTCTAACCAGGAGAGGTTTTGATCACCAGCGCTTGATCCTATCCAAGACACTGCCAGGAGGCAGCCCCAGGCAGCCCCGGAGGTGGGATGGGAAGGAGGGTGCTGCCCATCAGGGGTGCAGGGCAGAGTTTGGGATCGTTCGTAAGCACATTCATTTTAAGCTGCTGCCAGAAGCAATCGACAGCAGGATGGTCTGCAATGTTGGCGTGGACCTGGCTGGTCATTATATTTCAGATTCATCCTCTGTGATGAAGGGAGCAGCCTTTATCTCTCTCTCTTGATTAAACAGAACATAAAACCAGGAGAGACTCCTCAGAATACCAACAAACCTTCCAGTTTTCAGTCTAGATTACTTCATGATTAATTTATTCTTATTTATTCTTATGCAACCTGTTTTCTTTGCTTTTTCCTTTCCCTGGTGCTTGCCCCTTTGAAGTATTTATAGATTGAACTCAGATCCCCTCTTTGCCTTTGCTGGGTGAGACAAGCCACATTATTCCCGCTTTCTCCTAAGAGAAATGCTCTGTTTGCCTACCAATCTGCTTGCATTTCTATCCACATTACAGGAGTGTCCAGGACATGAGATCTAGTAGCCACACGCACCAG